GATTGAGGATTCCGTCCATCCAAGTCGCCGCACTAAAGGTTCGTTCTTGGAATCCATTGCTGTCGGGAAGGGCAAGGATGCAACAGGCCACGGCATAAATCAAGGGATAGGTAATCTTCCCTTCCCGCTCCCACCAGTCCATGATATCAAAGTGTTGGACGATCTTCTCCACATTTTCAAGCCAACAGATCTTGTTTGTTCCGAGCCGATCAAGAACATCCTGGGGGACGGGACGAGACTTCTGTAGTTTGAGAGCAGTAGTGAGATGAAAGTCTTGCGAGAACCATGCCTCTACCTCTCGCTCCACTCGATCCCCAAGAGCTGCCTGGACTGGAACTTGTTCTTCGTTCCTTTGTTTCTTCCTTCTCAGTTTCTCGAAGTCACTGACCGTGGGGTCGTCGTCGTGGTATTCCACAAAGGTAGCCCGGGCCACCATTTCAGGATCCTTGAGTAGCTCACTGCAGATCTCTCGTACTTCCTTCATTAGGATATCTTTGACGAGCTTCTTCAGATCGGATGTCAGAGGCTTGTACTTAGGGTCGCCAACAGTAGGGTCAGCCACCATGGTGCCAAGGAAAACCAACTCGTTCAACAGATACGTGGAAGTAAATGGATTGCATCCCAAAGCCAACAGTCGACTCTGGTTGAAGTCATCCTTCATGTTGGCGCCATACCTAACATACTCCGCGGTAAGCCTTCCGATGAGTTTCTTAAATAAATCATGGAACTCTTCCTTGTTCACCTTCTTCATTGATACTTGAGTTGGTGATCCGGGTACATGACAGATCTTGTTGGGACCAGTTCCCTCCAAGATGGGCTTTGGATAAATGGGGGTACCGTCAAACTTCATGACTGGCAGCATTGCCAAAATAACGAAGTTTTATTATTTAGGCTGCACCTCAATAGACCACCCGCTGAACGGAGCCATATTGAACCGGAGTACCTCAGACGTACAAGACGCCCACATAGGAACCGGCCTAGTGCAAGCCCCCCACCGGAGAAGTTTAAAAACTCCGGAGGGTGCTTTGCAGCTAACTATCTACCCTTGGCTGGATTGCCATCTATTTCTACGGCAGGACCCCTTCTGTGCGGAGTTACCTTGTGTCATTGTTCTGCATTGTGCGTGCATGCTCGTCCCTGAGTGCCTTGTCGACGACGGGCAGCCAATTGGCAAGCCACGCTTTGATGTCGCCTGGGCCCTTTGCCATTTGCTCGTCAAGCGGTCGCTTGAAGATAAAGTCCACCAGCTCCGCTGGGATCATATCCGCTTTCTCGTAAATGAGTTCCACCTCCCGCTGAAAACTGGCAGCATTGCCTCAGCACTCCACTTTGCCGCTTTGTCAACAATCTCACGCCTTCTTGTTTCCACCACCCAGTAGTTGCTGCAGGTAACCAGGATGGCAAAGGTCCGGAAGATGAAGTAGACAGTTCTTGGTTGTCTCCTGGGAGCCGACCCGATGCAGATATGCATCTTGATGCTTAGCCCAGTGCGTGGACAAACGTCCTCTCAGGAAGTTGTCCCAACCAATGAGATTTTGAGTGTCAACGAGGTCCCTATACCTGTCAGGGTAGTGCCATGGGTGGAGGAATCGATCTTCAAAGTGGTATTGTAGTCCATCCAGAGCAATTTCCAGGAGGAAGGGGTCTGTGGAATCCTTGCGCAACCTTGTGCTGATCGCTCGTTGCATGGTCCCTCGCCACAAGTCCACGTCAACATGCGGGCATCGATAAACATGGGTTTCAGTCTCGTGATCACCGCCACAACGGGGACAGTGGTGATCATACTTGGGGTCATCCCGGTGGACCCGTTTCCCAACTGGCAACAATTGAAATAGGAACTTCACAATTGTCGGTTTGTGGATCTCATGACGGTTGACAGCTCGACCATGGGCTGTCCAATCAACCAGTGCAGGGGTGTCCTCGTCCCAGTCGGGATTCAGTTTGACAATGTGGTCGAACAGTGGCTGGTCGTTCCTGAGATGCCGCAGTGTTCTGGGGAGCTTGTATGTGCATGTTCCTTTGGGAAGGTGCAGCTGGGCCAGGTTTGCCGGAAATCGGAGTACCTTGGAGTGATCCTGTTGGATGTGTCTGGTCATGTAACTGCCTGCCAGTTTGTCAGCTCTGCAGTTCAGTTGTGCTTTTAGGGGTAGTGTTTCGATGGCCTTGTGCTTGTCCTGGTGCGATTTGATGTGCTCCATCTTGGGCACAGTGACTGCAGCCCGGAACGAATCCTCGATCTGCTGCAAGACATCCCAGTCGGAGTCCAACGAATCATTGGGGTACCATCCCTCATACTCGAGACAGCTAGCGCACTTGTTCGTCACAGACTCATTGTCGCATAAGTGTACATAATTCTTCATGCTGGTCTGATCGTAGAACTCCAGCAATCGTCGAAGAAGGCAAGTAGGGGATAGAATGCCATAGGCCTCGGCCCTGTAGGAAGTCGGAACCATACCAAAAACTGGACCAGAGCACCGAAGCACAATTTGGCCTCGGTTGTCTGCCAGGACCCATGCAAAACTCGCCTTACCGGCTTCAATGTCTGCTGCCCCATCGCTGGCCACCCAGAAGGGCATGGCTGTGACAATCTGCAGGACTGAGTAGGCGTCCACCATCCACTCAAGCTCGTCATAGAGAGCTGTTTCCCAAGGCTCCAAGGTGGCAAGGAAATCCTCAAATGTTGTCGGTGTGGGTGGTAGTGGACGAGCAGGAATGCCTGCTGTGAAACCACTACCAACTACCACTGTCTCACGCTTGTTGAAGAGGGTCAGGTCTAGGACTCGCCGCTTTCCAGAGTCTGGCTGGACAGATGTGCAAGATCGGGGGAAGTGGGGATCCAGTGGCACCGAGTTGTGTAGGATGCTGGCGTCGAGGTAGGTCTCATCTCCGAACTCCCAGCGATGAACTGTCCGTTCCTTGTTCGGGACTGGATGTTGGAACATCCAGAATTCGGACTCTTCATTGTCAACTTGTTGATAGACGACGTTGGCATCGACTTCATAGAAGAACCTGTGGCGCATCCGGAGCTTGTCAGCAGAGACGAGCCACCTCCCCAGGGGTACATCCAACGTCAGATTCGGAGCGAACAGGGATAAGGCTTTCCTCCACAACCACCAAGTCTTGGGATCCCTGGGTCGATCTTGAAATCTCTTGAAGTAGGTGGTGCGAGGCATCACCTGTCATCAGAACACAACAGTGTCAACAACTGCATGACCAGAGGCATAGGCATTGCTGCAGTTGCTGGATTCATTGCCTCAATGCGGACACCAAAGTAGTGTGTCTTGTGGCTCCTTGCACCATCATTGGCATCTTCAAAGCTTTCCTCGTCGTCATCCCTCATAGTATCTCCATTGTCACCATCCTGATTGCCATTGGTGTTGTATTCGTCGGCGCTCTCATCTGCATCAAGAGCCATGGGATTGGTAGCACCAAGTGAAGCAGTGGCTGCATCTTGCTTGGACTCTTGAATGGTCATGGTGGTAATGCCTGGGATTGAGGGAACATCATTATCAGGAGCTGGTTCGAGTAGACCCAATGACTTTGCTCTGTGATGAATCTCTCGAGGCAATGGACAGTGAGTTCTCTGTAACTCAAGAAGGGAGTTCTTAACACAGACAGAAGCAGTGTCATTTGCTGGGTTGGTGGGAACAAGGAATGCCAGTTCTGTTTCCAGATAGGTGAGTATCTTGTCTGGATCTACCTTCCACTTACAGAGGAAACACAATGGGTCTTGAGGTCGAGAGATCGAAACCTGATGACAGAAGCATTGCTGAGGACTATGACTGATTGATGTCGGAGCTGGTTGATCTGATGGCATAATAGTGGCGTCTAACTGCTGAACAGCGGCTGGTTTTTTGGTTGGTGCATAGCTAGAGTTGATATCTGTTGCATCGAAAAACTCTATCTGAGCCTGATTGTCGTCATCTGCGATAGTGTCGAAGACAGGAGCGAGTTTCTTTACCGGAATAGTGCCATCGCGATCTTCGAAATTGTCGGTTGGTATATTTGCTGTAAGGGTATCTGTCATTTCCTTTTCCTTTGCAGAGTGTTGGAGATGCTTGATTCCTGCATCGATTTCTTCTTCTGTGGGCTTGTTGCTGCTGTCGTCGAACATCATACCTGTACTTGGGGAGAGTAGTATCATCAACGGTGAGGCTGAGCGTGTATCCATGGCGGACGGTCCCTGCAGGTGGATGAGCAGTTTGCAGTTGGTACAATAATGTGTCACACCAGGCGTCGTCTCATGTGATGGTGTGGCATTCACTGGATCGCAGATCTGTGGAAGAGCTGGAGCATTGCATTGGATACACCATACCGGCATGGTTGTTGGGATGTGCTTTTGCGTTGTGTAGTTGGTCGTAGCAGGAAAGATATGGTCAACGGCCGGATCTTCGCCGGAGCTACTTTGTGTGGCCGCAGACATCATGGTGGTTGTGGCTTCGAGATGTGTTTTGATGGACGTTTGTGTGCCTGTGGTATCAGTGGAATACGTGGATGAGTCATCCATGGGCGAATATTCAGTAATAGTTGCTGTTTGAGCATCAAGTGCCAAAAGAATAGCTGGTTTCAATCCATATTTCTTTCGCTTGCTATTGCTATGACGGTAGGACGCATGAGCAGGGACTGTAGTTGGGTTCATAGAAGAAAGGAGTACTGAGCTGGTTCTGTTGTTGGATAGCGTATCTGGGGCTCCTTCGTGTTTGTTGGTGGAATTATAGGCAGTAGGATTTTCTGGAATCATGGCCCGGTCATTCGCATTGTTCGAGATCGCAGATGCAGGCATCAATTGAGTGTGCTTGTCGTTCGAGGTGTTGTTGAATTCTTTCCATTGAGTATTGGCATCATGGTTGACTGTGGCCTGCACAATGACAGTTTTTGTATTTGTGGAGCGGTTGTGACTTGGTAGCATCAGCCATTCGGCGTTGTCAGCATGGATGCTAATAGCGATAGAAGCACTCGGCGTAGACTAACGGGTGACTGTTTTGATCGCGTCTTGCGGTTCTTGTTGCATCTCGTACTTTTCTTCTTGAAGGTATTTTCCCAAGCCACCGGTGAAACCTTGGTCGTAATCAGAATGGGAGGCAGTGGAAGTGGTTGAATCTTCGAGGTATCTTGTTGTCGAGATTTGTGGCTACATGATCTTGTCTTCCTGGCTGTACTGCTTGTTGTGGCACACCTGTTCGAATTTCTCCTAGGTGGTGTGGGGGCTGATGGGTCATCTGTAGTGGAAGCCGTTCCCATGGTATCGATTGTAGTAACAGAGTCCGTGTCATTGTCATGATTTTTCTGTAGCCAGAGATCGGGTTGTGCAAGTGCCAAAAACCGATTGTCGTTAACGGGTGGTATTGTAGTAATTGATGTATCAATTGCTTGTGTTCGTGGTGTGGTTTTCTTGCCACGACGGATCTGATGATATCCGTCATCTACCTGGATACCGCGGTCATCGTGAGATGACTTGATGATTGAATCAGCATTGGGAAGCTCCGTTTTAAATGGAATAACGATGGATTCGGAGACCGCCAGTTTCAGTAGGTGTCCATTCCTCTTTCGTTGACTGTTTCCCATGGTTGTATCATCAGTACAGTTCGTCAATCGGCGGCTAAAAGGGCCACAGAGCGCCATGGTGGGCCTTTTTTGCTTGGAGCGGTTGCGAAACGGCAAGTTTACTATAGGATAAAGAGTACAAATCGAGGAGTCAGTGTGCGTCCTGAATAGGTGATTCTAGATTGCGCGAATCTAAAATTGTTGATTGGATCAGATTCAAAGAAGGCTTGTCTGAAGCCTTGTGGACTGAACAAGGGTGCTGGTGCTGGAGCTGGCGCTGTTGATGAAGATAAAGATGCTGAGGCAGAGGAAGCGTCG